GCCATTGTTGTACAAAACCCCCCCTCCCCCCCCCTTCGCCTTTTTTTGTTTTGTTTTTTTACTATCTCTTTTGTCTGTTGAGTGTTAGCTTTGTTTGTTGAGGAGGATGAAGAAGAAGAGGAGACGAATACCCCCTCCGTCTATATATATATACCTTACCTTATCAATCACCCCATGTGGGTTAAAAAAAAAAAACTTGACTCTTGAGATCCGTTTGTTTAAATTTTTATATTTATATATATATATGTATTTGAAATGAGGTTGAGATTGAGATTGAGATCAAGGATGTGTATTTGTTGGAGAAACGTAGGTTGCATCCAATAAAAAAAGAAGAAAAAGAGTAAAAAAAAAAAGAAAAGGTAAAGTGAAATGTGTCTTCTTTCATGTCGTGTGGTAGATAGATCAGAGTAAAGCAGTTTGGTACACATATAATGACATGTATAAAGTGAGCTTCATCATTATATGCATTAAAAAAGTGTCTGTTTGTTTGTTTGTTGAATTATCCAAACCACATCTTTCATCTTTCAACTCCCCTTCCGTTGCTATCCTGCATCCTGCATCATCATCATCATCATCATCATCATCATCATCACCATCCCTCCCCCCACCCAGTTATCCAACCCAACCCCAACCCAGGCCTAAGACATCTTCTTCCCCATCAGCTCCCCCAACTCATCCAGCAACTCCACCGTCTCCGCCGGGCTCGCAATCCAAGCCGTCGTCCCCACGCTCCTCGCCCTGAAATCGTTGGCCCCCGCGCTGAGAAACTGATCGCCCACGTGCAGCGTGTTCTCCCCCCTTATCGGCCTCCCCGTCTCGGGATCCCTGAACCACCTCTGACAGACCGTCACGCCCCAGCTCTTGTCCCCAATGTCCACAAACACGTCGTTGCCCCCGTTGAAGGCGCAAAACGGCACCTTTTTGCTCCTCCCGGCCGAGGACAGCTCGAGGATCTTTTGCACGCAGAGGACCGTCTCCTCGAGCGACTCGCGCGGGATGCGGATGTGGGGGGGGGAGGGGATGATGCCCACCGCGCGGTCTTTTCTCATGAGCACGGCGGGGAGGTTGAGGGTCTCGATGCAGTCCGCCAGGGCCGCCTCGGCGATGTCCAGAAGCTGGGTGATGTCCCGGTCATCCCAGAGGAGCATCTCGGCCGTGAGCCATTCTGACCGCGGGACGGGGGAGAGCAGGTGCTCCGAGGCGGGGTCGAACTGGAAGAGGTAGTTGGCTTCGCCGCCCATGATGATCACGGAGCGTTTCTGAACGGGGGTCAGATCGACCGAGGTTGCGATGCTGTCCAGCAGCCCATGGAGGCGGGCGTAGTACCGGTCTGCCGAGGTGTAGCCCGCCGCGGTGACGATGCCGATCTTGATGTTTTTCCTGAGGAGGTCCAGCAGCCGCGGGATGACGGGGGAGGTCGGCTCGAGGGATTGGCCGTCGTCGTAGAGGGTCACGTCTCCGTCAAAGGTGGCTAGCTGGAGGGTGCTGCCTGGTGTGGTGGAGGTCACCGAGATCAGCTGGGCTGAGTTTAGGATCAGGCGGACGTCGTTGAAGGAGGGAGACACGAAGCGGCGGGAGGAGATGTAGCGTTTGCGGTCTTGGAATTTGAATGCTGCTTCTAGGGGAAGGCGGGTGAAAAACGGGCCGATGGAGGGGACGAGGAGTTTGAGCTTGGAGGGGAAGGGGTTGTCGGGGTCGTTTTGGTGGGCAATGTGGTCGTCAATCATGAGCTCGACGTCGTGGAGGATTTCGGCGTAGCGACGGTGGGCTTCCTCGCGGGCCTTGATGAGGATGGGGTTCGGGGAGCCGGGAGGGGAGGTGCCGAGCTCGGGCGAGGATGGGGGGTATTCGAAGACACCGTGGGGTTGGGAGTAGAGGACGAAGGGGACGGCGAGGAGGCCCTTGATCCATTCGATGAATTGATCGCGCCGGTGAGTTTTGAGGGCGTCTGGTGGGGGGTGTCAGTTCCACCCACTCGGTCTTCATCGAGGGGCAGCAAGCAAACTTACATTCAACACGGTATCGGGTCGTCATGATGAAGGTCGAAACAAAAGTCTTTTTCAAGCTCAGGTGGTTGTAGTAAACAGATTGGGTATCAAAAATGATTCGTATATGAAGTAGAAAGTAGGTGAGCAAGATAGATCAAGAGCTCGAGACAGAGAAGAAAACAAAATGGATTGACTGATTGATATATTGTGCCAGCAAAAGAAACAGTCACACAGTCACCGCTTCTTGACACACAACGCACACACAGCACGGCTTAGCTGTCGGTGATAAACAAATCAATAGTCGGAATATCTGTCAATAGGTGTTCGGCTGACTCCGATAATGTCTTTTGTTTCCCCTTGCGGCGCCGGCGTGTCAACTGTCGCCAACGAATAGCCGTTGCAGAATGATGTCACAGGACAGCTGTCGAGGGCATTCACCAATCAGGAGCTCCAAAGCTGGCTTGTGCTTCAGGGACCTCTGGGCTTGGCGGCCCCCGCATTGCTCTTATCGTCGCGGATCATTGAGCTTCCCCGGGAAGGTGTTTGAGTGTTTACTCCACTCGTTCTGAAGCGGATCGAGAACGTTGGTTGAGTCTTCGGCGGTTCGTGCTATGGTTTATGTGGAGTGAAATTGTTCTGGTCTCGATCTTTGGGAGGGTTGGGGGAGCTGGGCGTTTGCAAGTGGCAGGGATCAATGTGAAGAAAGTTGTTTATTCATGTATTGAGCTCCTGAAGATCGGTTGAACAAGCTGAAGTATTTATTTACATCATAATTGTGAGACCAACACCACCCAAGAGACTAACCCCCAGTTTTGACAATAGGAACATGAAGATGAAAACGAAGGAAGAACCAGGCACACAAGAAAAAGGTAGGATCAGCAAGCAATGCTCGCCGTCTCCGTCCTCGTCAAGCACCCATCAGCACAAGCGGTTGGGCATCCCTGAACCCAAAGCACAGTCCTCGGCTGGCAGTTGCAAGGCACCACCTGCGTGGTTCTGACCTGGCAGGTCGGCACAGGGCATCGGATAACAGGGCAGTCGCCCGGCGTGGTGATCCTGGTGACAGTCGGGCAGGGGATCGTGGACGTGGTGCTGGTGGTGGTGATCCGGGGAGGAAGGGTGACAACGCTGGTGATGACCCTGGTGGTCTGAATGGGGACGGAGGTCCTCGTGGGGGTGGTAGAAGTTGTCCGCCGGGTGCTGGTGGTGGTGACACGGCGAGTGGAAGTAGGGGTAGGGCAGGCGAGGCTGCTGGTGCGGAAGATGATATCACAGCCTTGATACGGGCAGTCGGCCGCGCAAGGGGCGATGAGAGTGGCTGTCGGGATTGCAGCCGGGCAGTTGCAGGGCTGACGGATAGTGGAGTAGAAAGCGCAGTCGGAAAGAGGGCATCGTTTGTTGCACTCCTGGTTCTGAATAGTTTTGGTTGCGGTTGGGCAGGCGACAGGAGCTTGAGCTGCCGCCAGACTGACGAGGCTGGCCAGGCCTAGGATGGCGGTGGTGAACTTCATGATGACGGTAGCAAGAATGATGATGATGATGATGATGATGATGATGGTGATGATGATAATGATGATGATGAAAGAGAGCTTTGGTGGCGTTGGTAAAGCCCAGAGGTTCTTCTATTTATCTCCTTCCAAGCGGAATGTATGTACCCCGGACTACGAAGTAACTGGTTTCTATCTTTGGATACCGTGTGGGGGATGACGACAAACCTGTTGGCAATATCAAGTCCTTTTTCTCCGGAATCATACCTACTGTATAGCACCACCGGATGAACTAAAACACATGTTATTGCAGCCTTCCTTCGATGCTACCCAGGATGGAGGAGGCTCTTTGTTTGGCACCGTGTTATGGGAACAGACTTAACCCGAGAGGAAGATGAGCTGTATCGTTAAGCATGACTGTGGGAGCTTCTGCCCCTGCTTTTGTCGGGCCGCTGGGGAGTTATCCATATGATCGGAAAATAAAAGCAGCCTGAACATGTCTGTATACTTACAGGGAGGGGCACTTGATATGGCGGAACCAAACCTTCTGTATACTGCCGTCGGGTCAAGGCATATTGTCTCCTTTCGTGTTCCCAAGTAAGCATCGTCTCCTGATTTTCACCATCTAACGAAGTAGTAGCGAGGTTGACGGAGCCCAACTGTCCACAGAATGGTTCTTCTGGGCGAGACAACTTTGCATACGCCACCCATTTCGAACCGGACGCTAGAATCCGGAATCCTGGGCGAGCTGTGATAGCTTGTTCGCCAGTTGATGCAGGACGGGTCGATCATGGGATTGCGGGGTTTGGCGGTGGTCATCTCGGGTCTCGGGTTGAATGTGCGAGCTACCGGGCTGTGGAGATGTATCGTAGGTATATGACCCCGTAGAAGTGTCGTGATGTAAAGGTCGGGTATCGACTGATAACCAGGGGGGCGCCTATATCCATCCAAATGGAAAGCTTCACACCTTCTGTGTCCTTCCCGATGAAGCATTCAGCGTCACTGTCCCAGTTCGTCTACTTTCTCAGTCCCTCTAGACGCACGCTATGTGATGCCCAAAAGAAATCGAGGTCTCTCCTTGGCTCATATAAATCCCTCCCTCGTGACAGACGCGCTTGCTCGGGTATGCCTGTAAAGCGATGTGCTGAGTCTGTCGATGTGCAGTCGACCCACATCGCAATATGTTCAATCACCCAGGCTGTCGATCCTTGTTTATGTGGGTACAGTTGGCAGTGAATAGGAAAAATCAGGATAGAGCGGCATGATTGTGCTGTGTGAGTTATATGATATCAGCCTTGAGCCTCCTTTTTAGCCTGAGCTGTGGGGACCCTCTCGATCTTGTTGGCCAAGGCCGAGAGGGTTTATATGCTGAACTCATGCGCGACCGTTTGATGTGTGAGTGGGTCTCGAAAACCACTTTATCAATCTTGAAAAACGAGAGCATAAGTCGAGCCGAGGAACGCCGACAAAAATAGTCTATGCGGAAGCAAGAGCTGATCATGGTGATTGTCAGGGGTAAAAGGGGCGGAAATAAATAAGAGCAAATATCGGTGCCGGGCCCTTGTCCCGTCTGCTCTTCCGTGCTATATCCGCCCAGCAAACTGATATGGCAACTCGTAACCAGTTGCTGAGAACACACACGCGAGTGTCGTTTGCGTAGAAACCCGAGCACACAAAAGACTTTGGCACGAACTGGTACTGGCCAGAACGAAATGCAGATCGAGGAGCAGCTCGATGCTAGGCCGTGGGCAACTTGCCAAAGCTGAGTATTCGATCATAGTGCAGTTGCGACATTGTGCTTCTGCTGTGGGTGTCCCTTGACGACCACGGTGCGGAGTTGTCTGATCAAATAAATGCCTCCATCGTCTTCTTTCCAGGAGAGTATCCGTAGCTCGCTTGAGCGTGGTAAATGCCCTATAGACTGTTAGTCGAGGATAGAGCAAGGCGTGTACAAAGAAGATGTTCGTCAGTTTCCGTAGCAAATCTTGTTCGATCGACTCCACAACAATCTTGACCGTCTGCCACAGCATGCATGCCATAGATCAAGACAAATAACATCGATCCCAGTGACCGGGTAGAGCAAACCCAAAACTCCAGTACAAGGATATTACCATAGCCTCCCGTCCCCATCATACTGCAAGTCAAGACGCACGTCGAGATTGAGGGAAGATTGCGTGATGCGGAAGGGGACATACCTGGTCCTAGCACTCAGGACACACAACTGTTGAAAGATGATGTATTTCATTCCTGTTGTGAATTCACATGTTTGACCCAAAGAAAAATCAAGAACGCCGTACACCATTCCCAATGTGACAGCGAATCACCCTGTGTCTACCCGGCATAATGGTATATCCGCATGTATCCAGCCAATCCTGCAGAGCATGCAAACGCCTGCTATTGCGCCTTCGCAAGGAACAAAAGAACAAGAGAAGAATGAAACCCTAAACCCTATTATGAAAACCAATATTCTCACTTATGCTGTTGATGGCTCGACTGCGGAGTCAAGATCATCGTCTGGTAACGGATCCTCCATCCATGCGGAGTAGTCATCATCGTCATCATCCACCACCAGCTTGGTGGAGCCACCGCCCTTTCTGCCTTCGCGCCTGGGTTGGGTTTTGTCTATAGGTGCAGCTTCAGGAGACGACCCAGAATTTTCGCCGTTGAGTTTGATGACTGGCATATCGCTGGATGACTTGGCCGAGCTGTCGCCAATAGCTTTGCCGTCTTCGATCCATGACGGACTATGTGAGCCACTGAGCGGCGTAGTGGGTTCGGAGTCGGCGGGGGCGGCTACAACCAACATGTTGTGTCCGTCGTCCACCACCGAGTCGCTCTGATACTGCCGCCGCTTGGGAAGCGATGGTGGTGGAACTGGGCGGCGCTCGACCTTGTGGCTCGAGGAGTCTTCAGATTGTGATGAAATTGAAGGTGGAGGAATCGGCTTCTTTTTTGGTACTGGAATAGGCGAAACAGGAATACTCTTGTCGGGCATTGGGAGAGGCGTTCCCGGGGGAGGTAAGGGTTGGCCACGACCCATCGGCTGGTTGAGGTCTAGGTGTGGTGGTGCACCGTCTGTGGCAGAACCTGCATCAGTGAGACGTCTCTGAAAGGCATTCAGTCCCCATCTTTTGGCAGATGCTGCGGCATTTGTAACCGCAGCCAGCGCGGCCCCTTTCTTTGTATCGGCGAGACTGGCCGTGTCGGAAGCCGAAGACCCAGTGTCACGGCGGTTGAAGAAGCCCCGGGCGATGGATCCCGTCTGGCTCTTCACCGATCCTTTGATGGAAGCGGAAGGCGACCTTGATCTAGCTCTACCATCATCATGGCTGCCGGACGAGGATGCTGTATTGCGTCGACCTTGGGGTGTTTTGTCCAGATCCTTTTCGGTGTCTGTGGCATCTCTCGAAGAAACTGACGAGCTCGATGTAGTATGAGCATTCGTGACTGGCGTCAGGGCTGGTGATGGAGGTTGCGCTTGAGCAGAAAGGTTCGCCATTGCCGATATGGCCGGGCTTCCATTAGGCGGAGATGACGAGGGCTTGAAGAGATCAGCGTTGATGGGGTCAGTTCCGACAGTGGGTGTTGCTGGTTGGGCGAAGGGTACTGAGAGCACAGGAGGTTGCGAGGAAGAAAGATCACTCTTGACCTCCCTTCGAGAGTCTAGGCTTAGTGAAGATGACTTTGCATCTGACCTGTTTGACTCAAAGCTGGCCACGGAAGTTCTGGGGTCGGCCTTCAGATCCAAACTTGAGGTAGAGCCCCCAGCTGATCCTCTCAGATCAGTCTTGCTCTTCATTTTCCTTCCAAAAAGGCCAATAGATGTCTTCTTTTCGAGCACTGGCACGCTATGGCTCTTCTCCATCTGTGGCAACTCGGTTTCCGGGGCCCCTTGAGTTTCCTCCAAACGGTCAACTTCATCCAGTTCCCCGTCCTGAGCCGCCGCGGTCTCAAGATCCATCGTTGACTTAATTCTGTCGTCATGGAATATACCGCCTCTCCACTTCTTGTGTTCGGTGTTGAAAAACGGGGTGTCATCCCAGAAAGGCAAAACCAGCGTTTCGGCAATGACCTCTTTGATACGACTCTCGATCTGACGAAGAATAACATTGTACGTGATTTGGCGGGAGCTGACGATAGGCTCGATGGTCATCTCCATCTTCGGTGCCTGCTGGAAAGAAAACCACAACCGATTGCTCGGTGGGGGCTTGATTTTCAGGTGAATATGTCCTTCCAACTTTCGAACAACAACCGCGAGAACCATGTTGACCTCTCGTGCCTTGAAACGAGCACCCAAGTCGATGCGGGCAGTTGCAGCAACCTCGAGCCGGAAATTGCCGGTGTAGCGCATATCTGCCTCAACACCGCACTCTCCTTCAACGGTGAGGTCTTTGAGGCGAGGGTTGGTAATGTATGGTGCCGAGTCGCCGGTATCAATAGCCTTGATTTCAATGTTGGATAAGAAAGCCGGCCGCTTGACCCGGGATATCTTCTTCGTAAGCTTCTCCCTTATGAGATTTTCAATGTCCTTGGTCTTATAGATGCCGAGAAATATCCTCCCGATCATGGCATTGAGCCACCTTGTTTGCATGTGTTCTTCGGACGAATGCAGTTTCTGGACCAGCGATATGATGTTCTTAACTTCAAACTGGATCGGAGTCGGCGCTCTGTGCTCGGTGGGAAAGGAAAGCTCCTGGTTTCTCAGGAGGGCAAAGTAGAAATCTTCCTTAGCAGAGCAGTTCTCTGAGAACAAGTAGAAGGGCTTGGACACCTGGCTATCTGGGCCCAACTCTGGCCCATCTGCACGGCGCGAGAGGCAAATCGCATTGCGTTTGATCCATAGCTCGCCTTCCGGCGTGACCTCCTCGCCCGAATATATGCTAATGTCATGGTGGGCCAAGGATACTACATGGCGCACTTCGAGTTGTTCATCATCGTCAAAAAGCATGAGGTGGCCGTGTCTGGAAGATAGGTTAGACAGGGCCTTTTGAAACGCATGCTGGCAGGTGGGGTGTACGACGAACGGACCTTAGTACAACATAGAAAACATTCCCAGCTTTTTTTGGTCGATGACTGGCGCCGTTCTTGTTGTCCAGCGGGCTCGATGTGCCTTTCCGGTCAAATATGCTGCGATACATGGTTTGGTAGACGCTTGGACTTGGAGCAGCCACCGTAGCTGATCCCACCGGTGTTGATCTCTCTATCGGCTTTGCATTGATTCCCATTGGCGTGTATTCACGACAGACGGCAAAGTAACCGGCAGCCACATCGGTGTCATGGTGAATTGTTCGTGATTTGGCTTCCTCCTTGTCCTTCTGCGCCGCTTTGAGTGCATCTACATCATCCCCTGGCTGGACCAGATCGTCCGCGTTTGGAAAGGCGTTATCGGCATCTTCGTGGTAGGGCAGTGTCAGGTAGGCGTGGGCGAAGAGGATGGCGGCGACCAAAGGCAGAAAGGTAATGCCTCCGAGAAGGTAGGCCAGCCAGAAGGCCGTCCAGCCCATAGTAACCGAGTGTTGGCAACTATGTTATCGAGAGACTTCCGGCGGGACCGGGAGGAGAGGGGTGATGATCTTGAAGTGCAGAAGCGTTTGCGAGAGCAGACAGCCCTGCTACCTGCTTGAACCGAGAGTGTCTGGTGAGCGCATCGATCCTCGCGAGAGCCTTGTGACTGGTTTGGAGCTTGTCTGGCTTTTGCTTTGCCTTTCGGAGGCGCGGCTGTTTGAGGGCGAAATGTTCCAGGTTGTCCTGTCAGTTGCTTCGGACGGACCAACCACGAACGTCCATTGATGACGGCCAGCCTGGCAAACCGACACAGTGGGAACGGGCAGCTGTGGTGGGCAAGCTCAGCGGCTCATTGCGTCAGGTGGTCAGCCACTCCCAGCCTTGTTGCCCCACGCCCGGACACCATTGGCCAGCTGAACTAGCGTGCCAGTCCACTCCAAGACCCCACTTACCTTCACGGTCCATGTTCCTTGGGCTCTTGAATTGAAGCTCAACAGCTTTTCCAAACTTCCCATATAATTCACTGTCTTTAATCCTTCTCCCAAAATATATTCCGCTAAGGGAAAGAGTGCCCAGGAATACCTCTCAAAAAGACGCGTTTCTGTGTTGGCATTGGACTGAGCGTCGCCATCCTCAAGTCCATGTTACACAGTTCATCTCGGAGTCTTCAAACCCACCCCTCTCTCACATCACAAGAAGGCCCTCTGACAAGGCCAACGTCTCCGGAATTCCGCCCCATTGTCTTGACGGCGAGTGACTATGTGACCACATATCATGAGCTATTCGAGAAGCAGACGGTTCTTGCTGGTGTTGCCCACCCTTATTCTCTTGCTTCAGCTGACGGACTGATATGCCCTCAGAGAGCTATAACTCATATAGAGAAAATGGGCAGGGGCTCAAAAAGGCCCTCGAAATACATGGAGCAGCTTTCGGAGACATTTTGTTAGCTCCGAATAGGTTTCACCTTTTTCATGGTGACACAGGATTGCTTGGCCCAGAGGAATACAAGGAACCTTGTCGTGTGTACTTGATTGATGTATGTCAATGAACCACGTTGGCCAATTCTTCTGTCTGACTACTTAGATATTTCAGGTGTGTATAATACTCAGAATACGACATGAGGGACAAATTATGTGTTCCTTGCCTATCTCATGCTTTTACAGGAAGCAGACCATTTCACAGTTCGCAGGGATAAACTGCAATGGAGCATAAGACAGAAAAAGCTATCATGACTGGAGGGAGCTTGTCACATTGATGAGTGGATGTTCTTGTTGGATTTGCTCTATTTCTTGCCACGTGTGTGCCGTAATCCCTTGGGCTAGAGCGAGCCTCGGGCGTCTGCATTTCAGCGAGTGACCAGCATCGCGGAGGTTGGACTCGCCGGTCCAGATCTGGTCTTCACAAGCAAGCCACGCCGGATGAACAGTGCGTTTCGAGTCGCTCTTTGTTGGTCATGCCATTGGTATTTTGTTTCCTATCAGCACTCCCGCATCCCAGACCAAATCCATGCCGGGCATCTTTCCGTGCCGTACGCAATGAACCCCATGCAGTGAGAAATAAGCAACCCATAAAGAACACCACCTCATCCGCCTTCCAGCAACACCTTAGATCGTGGTCTCGTAGGCGATAGGGGCGACAGTCTCGGGCTTGTTCTCCTTGATGGAGATGGTCCGCGCCTCGCGGGGAAGGGCGGGTTGTCTCTTGAGCTGAACGGGCTTGCCCTCGGCCTTGGCCTTCTTCTTGAGCTCGGCGTTCTCCTTCACGCGGCGAAGGAAACCCTCGCGGGAGCGGGAGGGCTGGATGTGCTCGATACGGACGTTGAGGCGCTTCTCGATGTAGCGGTGCTTGACCTTCTTGTAGATGATGATGCCGACGGCGGACTTGGTGACGTTGTAGATGACGCCAGTCTTGCCGTGGTAGACCTTGTGGGCCATACTGTTTGCGCAAAGTCAGTCCCTAATTCTGCACACAGCCTCGTCTGATGTGTCCATCACGCTGCCATCTTCCCCCCGAAACTTTGAAAATTGGCGATGTAGTTTCCCCGCCTCGTGCTCCCCTGCGCAATCGGAAATCGTGGATAGGAAAATCGGGATGTTCGCTTACCCCTTCTGGACGGCACCGTTGACCTTGATGTCGACGATATCGCCAACCCTGCAATCCGTTAGCACCAAAGTCCCAAGGGTCGCAAAATCGGTCCTCCAACATACTTGTACTGCTTAAGGTATGTCGACAGTCTGATCATACCCTTCTCCCGGAAGTTCCGGGAGAAGGCGTATCTCGTACCAGCACGGAGACCAGCAGGGTGACCCATTTTGATTGATTATGGGGTTGTCGTCGTGGGTCGAGATCTGTCGAGATGGTGTTGTCGCTGGCTGGCGAATTTGGGAATTTTGTGTGAACGCAAATCTGAGGTCGGGATTTGCACACGGGTGACTAAGCAGACTGCGGGCTGCTCCCAACCAACCAGCTATTGTTAGGGCACGCTGGTGGACCCACACGCACGGGCCAACCACAAACCCACCCCTCCGGGCTGGCATTCAATTTTCTATCAACTCCAAGGGAAGGGTCTGGAGTTTGGAAATTTCCCTCGACCGATCGACCTTTGACAGCCTCAACGACAAAGATGGCCCCTCGCTCGTACTCCAAGACCGCTAAGGTCCCCCGCCGTCCCTTCGAGGCCGCTCGTTTGTATGTTTGATCGAATCGATTTTCCCTCATCGATTGCGGCCTCTGTTTGGCAGCTCGAGATTTTGCGAAACCTCGCCGTCGCCAGCTCCGATCATGCCTGCAACTCAATCACCGGCCACTGAGCTAGAGCTTGACTCTGCTTATGTCGATTGTGATCTTGGACTAACCTTCGGACTCTCAGGGACTCCGAGTTGAAGCTCGTTGGCGAGTACGGTCTCCGCAACAAGCGTGAGGTGTGGCGCGTTCTGCTCACCCTCTCCAAGATTCGTCGTGCTGCCCGGTAAGCTTTTCCCCCAGCTCTGATCACTCCAACTTGCCAAAAAGTGCTAACAGTTTCCCTACAGTGAGCTTCTCACCCTCGACGAGAAGGACCCCAAGCGTCTCTTCGAAGGCAATGCCCTCATTCGCCGCCTCGTCCGCGTCGGTGTGCTCGATGAGTCCCGCATGAAGCTCGATTACGTCCTGGCCCTCAAGGCTGAGGATTTCTTGGAGCGCCGCCTCCAGACTCTCGTCTACAAGCTCGGCCTGGCCAAGTCCATCCACCACGCTCGTGTCCTTATCCGCCAGCGTCACATCCGTGTCGGCAAGCAGATCGTCAACGTTCCTTCTTTCGTCGTCCGTCTCGACTCCCAGAAGCACATTGACTTCGCTCTCACCTCCCCCTTCGGTGGTGGCCGCCCCGGCCGTGTCCGGAGAAAGAAGGCCAAGGCCGCCGAGGGTGGCGATGGCGACGCCGAGGAGGACGAGGAGTAAATTTGAGGCATCTTTTATACCAGAGGGATTTTGATTGGGACTTTGCGGGACGGGCTACGAAAACTGGTCTGGGCAGGAACTTGGGGCCTCTGCATCATGCTGCTTTACAGGCGTTAGTCGGCGTGCAATGCATCGAGATTTACCGTACATCAACTCGGCAGCGAGTCACCAATCGAGCCTCAGCTCTTCTGAAAGAACCTGCGCTTAATCCACCTGATTTGTCTAGCTGTGACGTGATATTGTTGATGCTTTGAGCTGCGCTCTGTAGTTTGAGATTGGTATGCATGTGAAGATGAACCTTGATAGACAGCCAGCTCCATCCAAAACAGGGGTATCATTAACATTTCTGCAGTACAGATATTACATTTACTTATCCCATTCCTCGTTGGCGATCTGTCTTCCTGTATCACCTGTGCAGTAGCTGTTCTTGACAAACGAGTGGCAGCAAGCATAACCCCATCGAAAGTCTGACCACCAACTGCCCCAGACAGAGGTGTGATTGTTGATGAAGACATCCTCGGGGTACTTGCTTCTGCCAACCTTTCTTGGCACTCCCTTGACGAGACCGGCCTCGTCATACTCCACAAAGGTCTCTGACTCTGTGATGGTCGCCTTGAGAGCCTCTGGAACAGCTGGTTGCTCGCCGTACTGGCTGGCGAGCAATTCCGCCTTCTTCCTCCTCTTAGCTTCCCTTTCCTCGGTCTCCTTCTTTCGGGCAAAAGCACCAGCAGTTGGGTTGGCCTGCAAGTGCAAGCTAGTATCGCCCTTCAATTCCTGCGCTTCCCACGCATACCTCTGAGCTTTCTCAAACTCTGCCGCCTCGCCAGATGCGCGGAGGAAGGCCTCTTCCGCAAAGACCTGGGCCGACTTGTCTGCTATCGCACCGGCATCCACCAAGGCGCGCTTTTTAGGGTTGTATTTCGCGGAGTCAGAGTCCAAATTGAGGAGGTACTTCGCCGTGTCCTCCCTTATGCGCATGGACTTCTTCGTCGTCCGGTCCTTGCCCAAGTCAGACTCTTCCGCATACTTGAATCCCTTTTCGTATGCATCCTCCCCTCCGTTTTCCTCCTCTGACGACTTCTTATCCTCGCCATTCGAGGTCTCAGCCACCAGCTTCCTCCGCGCCTCCTCAATCATGTTGTACTCGTCTAGCACCTCCTTGTACTGCTTGGGGTCGTACCCAGCCCAGACATCGCGCTTTGCTTCGTACCCGAGCTTCACGTCTTTGAGATTTCGATCATCAGCTTGGATATCCTTCCCCGTAAACTTCGCGCCAACCTTTCGTGGTTTTTCGAGACAGTCTTTTTTCTTGTGGCCCATGGCACCGCAGTTTTCGCAGGAGCCTTTGACCCACTTGGTTCGCGCCGGTGCAGCTTTGCGGCCTTTGGAGTCGAGGAGGGCGCGCTGGGCGGCTTCTTCGTCGTCTTTGGCTGTTGCGCGGCGCTGATGCTGGAGGGAGTCATCTTGGTCGTCGAGGCCGGAGACGTAGAAGGGTTGTTTGGAGATGTAGGAGGGGATGTAGATGTTGTCTTCTTTTCTGGCAACGCCGGCGGCGTGGTGGCCGTCTGAAGAGCCCGTGGGCGCGGCATTGGCGCCGGCTGTGGGCGGCTGTTGTTCTGGGCGGTTTGGTGGTGGCATTTTGACGTGAGGGTGTATGATGTTGAGGGATGGAAATTTTGGGAGAGCTGAGGACCGCCGTGAAGACTGCGAATATCAAATGCGACGAGGCCAAGCTTCGATGCCAAGACCCGAGCCTGGGCAGGGGAGCTCGGGCTGTATAAATCGATGGGGATCTTCTAAACTGTTCAGTAGATCACCTGTTCGTCAACTCACTCAAAACTTCGACATATGGCCGGCCGTTGAGCTTTCTTGCCCATGAAATATTCCAACTTGCGTGGTCCGGGGGCAAGAAGTGAAGCTCGCGAGCAACCCTAACCCTTTCACTTAGCCTTTGTCCGCCACTGGAGTCCCCACGTGTTTTGGCGAACCTGACGTTCCACTCAGCGGCGCGACACCTGCGTTGAAACGCGTGTTGTGCCTCTTCGGCGGGTAAAAGAAACATGAACGAAATGCTGCCCGTGGGTGCATCCGAGCTCTGGAAGAATCGACATCCCGAGTTTCCCCCATGGCCCCATCGGCGTGAGCCCTTGCCAAAAAATGCTTCTTGATCCATTCTTACCTGGGTATTTTGACTTGTGCGCTTCCCAGAGCATTCACTGCCCACCTCAGCGGCCTCACAAGTGGAAGCGAGCGGCGAGAAGATGGAGTCGTTCCGCGTCCGCCTCAACTGTATCGATCATTACCAAGCCACGCCCACGCGATATGATCCCCAATTACGGAAGGACTATCGCGCCTCTCAGGCGGCGAAGGAACCCAAGCTTCCCGTCGTTCGCGTTTTCGGGTCGACTGAGACAGGGCAGAAGGTCTGCGCTCACATTCACGGCGCGTTCCCTTATCTGTACGTTGAGTACCGTGGGCCATTAGAGAAGAAGCTGGGTAAGGCTGCCTGCCATTCATTAAATGCTCAAGATGGCCCATCTGACACAGCTGTAGTGTCTGAATTCATCCTCAAGCTCCATGCGTCCATTGATCAAGCTCTGGCTGTCAGCTATAGAAGAGATCGAGATCGGGACCGGTCGCGTTTCGTTGCTCGAATCACGCTTGTCAAAGGAGTTCCATTTTACGGCTTCCATGTGGGGTACCGATTCTACCTCAAGCTCTACATGCTCAACCCCCTGGTCATGACCAGGCTGGCCGACCTGCTCCAGCAGGGGTCGATCATGAACCGCAAGTTCCAGCCTTATGAAGCTCATCTTCAGTTCCTCCTCCAGTTTATGACCGACTACAATCTGTACGGCTGCGACTACATCGAGGTCGGCAACGTACGGTTTCGGTCTCCCATTCCGGGCCCTGCCGGCCCGGAAGATGCTCCGCGAATATGGGACAGCAACACGATCCCACCGCAGTTCATCACAGACGACTTTGAGCTGCCTCGTTCAAGCCATTGCGAGATCGAAGTGGACATATGCGTGCAAGATATTCTCAATCGCCGGGAAGTGAAAGAACGGCCGCTTCACCATGATTTCATCGAGCGAGAACACCCCTTACCGGCCGACATCAAGCTTGTTCACAGCATGGCTGGGCTGTGGAAGGATGAGACGAAGCGGAGGAAAAAGCTATCAGGAGATTCGAGTGACGGCAGCAGTCCGTTTCCCCCTGAGGTCCTGGTCTCTATGTCAGCCAACCCACGCCATACTTCACCACCTGGTTGGATCCAGGAGGCAGAGTATCGCAAGCAGCTTCAGCAACTCATTGAAGCTGAGGTCGACGATGAGGACTACAGAGAGCTCACATTCTCCAACTATGTCCAGCCGCTCCCTTTGGAGGACACCATTCCGACAACTCTACAGTCCGTCGAGGATATGTTTCCGGAGAACCTGCTTCGTGCCTTGGGTCTTGAAGAGAGATTGATACAGGAGAATCCGGACGTTGTGAGGAACATTGAAATCGACGAGGAAAAGATTCTGGAACTCGAAATGGGTGAAGAGGCACGGCAGCTCTTTCCGGAGGACTCGGAAGAGAACAAGGCCAAGAAAGGAGACCAGGCGACGGAGCCAGCTGATTCAACTGTCTGCGCTGGTTCCAAGGCCCAAATAGCACCAGACTTGAAAGAAACCGAAGAGATCGCAAACCTGCAACGCACAGTCAACGAAATCGGTGGTGGTACCGCTGTCAGCGGCAAGCGTATTGGCAGGCGGCCCAACATCCCGATACCCAGGGGCATCTTCAGTGAGGCTCAAAGGCTGGGGTTAGTATTGATGGAGGATGGGTTGCCTCCTGGAGCACCGAGAGAAGATAAAAAACGTCCTTCATCGACACAGCCAGACAGCCGTCCACCAAAGAGGCCAAGGCTCAGACAATCGGAAAGCGATGCGGGCGTCCTTGAGGAAACTGGTCTTGGTGCTAAGCCATTCTCGGTCACAGAAGCCAGCGACAAGCCACCTGTGACAGGACAGGCTCAATCCTCACAGCCAAAGCCTGCTATAAAGGGAAACCCGCAGAAGCAAGGCAAGCACCCGGCTCTGAGCTTTCCTGTGGTAAAGGATCCTCAGAACCCACATACTCAGCTGAGACTCAGTCAGCAACATGGCTCACAGCAAAGCGACAATGAGACACCGAAGAAGCATGTAACCTTTGACTTTTCCATGTCCACCAGGGGACCTCAGTCAGAGCAGGATAAGAGTCCAGCCATCACAAGCTCAGAAGACTCTCCGGTCACCCCAAAGGCAGTGAGACTGTCTGGAAAGCCAAAGTACCGTTGGGATGGTCCAACAACCATGTTTGTTCTCCACAGCCAACCGCCAACAGCCCAAGAGGTGTTGTCCACCATGCAGACCTACGGACTACCAGACGTTATCTACCGAGACGCTTTCTACAGTCAAGACGAAGATGTCCCTCGGCGGCCACGAGAGTACGCAGGCAAAGAGTACCGTTTGGGAAGCGACACCCTTCCTTACCTTCCCGACTTTGATCCCAAAGGCGAGTCACCAGCAACATATGGCATCAAACCGGAGCAGGGTCCTGATTTGGCGGCACTGGAGCTGTCATACAAAGAACAGCGGATGGCATGCACTTTACGAACCTGGGAAATCGCCACGCCACCGCCTGCCTTCCAAGAGGTCAGCCAGTGGTGGGATGGCAAGCAAAAGAAGAGGTCTACGTCTTCCAAAAAGCCGGGGGATAAACACTCTCCTTTGACCGGCACACAGAGGGCAAACCCGAATCTCATGTCGCAGATCATCGGCGCGACACCGAAAAACAAACATGGGTTCAGATACTCCCAGAAGGCCAAATCAACCAGTGTCCAGCATGAGGCTCAATACATGAGCACCATGAGTCTAGAGATCCACGTCAACACCCGCGGGAAGCTGGTGCCGAACCCAGAAGAGGACGAGATTCAGTGCCTCTTTTGGTGCATGCGATCTGACGAGCAGGTCCTCTTTGGAGGAAGTCAAGCCGAGAACGGCACACTGAGCGGGATCATTGTCTTGTCGGAAGACGGTCTCCTGGCGGAACAGATCCGCAAGCAAATGCCTAGCAAGGTTGACGTGGTGGCGGAAGAAAGCGAGCTCGAGCTCATGAACAAGATTGTGGAGATTGTGAGGATGCACGATCCTGACATCTTGACCGGGTATGAAGTCCATGGTGGCTCGTGGGGGTACGTGGTGGAGAGGGCGGGCAGGCAGTACGGGTATGATCTCTGCAACGAGTTCTCGCGGATGAAGTCTTCGTCACCTTCGTTTGGAAAGTCAGGGAGGGAGGCTGATCGCTGGGGGTTCAACACGACGTCTACGATTCACGTTACCGGGAGGCACGTGATCAATGTTTGGAGGGCCATGCGGGGAGAGCTGAACCTGCTGCAGTACACCATGGAGAACGTGGTCTGGCACTTGCTGCACCGGAGGATGCCGCATTTCTCGTGGAAGGACCTGACGGAGTGGTACAAAAGCGGGCGGCCGAGGGATCTGGCCAAGGTGCTGCGGTATCATCTCAAGAGGACAAGGATGAATATCGAGATCCTCGAGGCCAACGAGCTGATCCCCCGAACGAGCGAGCAGGCCAGGCTGTTGGGAGTGGATTTCTTCTCTGTCTTCTCCCGCGGCTCTCAGTTCAAGGTCGAGTCCATCATGTTCCGCATCGCCAAGCCAGAGAACTTCCTGCTTGTTTCCCCGAGCAGAAAGCAAGTCGGCGCGCAAAACGCGCTCGAATGCCTACCCTTGGTCATGGAGCCCCTGAGCAGCTTTTACACCAGCCCCGTGTTGGTGCTGGACTTTCAATCCCTCTACCCCAGCGTCATGATCGCGTACAACTACTGCTACTCCACCTGCCTCGGCCGCATCGTCAACTGGCGCGGCACCAACAAGATGGGGTTCACCGAGTACAAACGCCGGGAGGGGTTGCTCAAGCTCCTCGAGCCGCACATCAACATCGCTCCCAACGGGCTGATGTACACCAAGCCCACCATTCGCAAGTCTTTGCTGGCCAAGATGCTGACGGAAATCCTCGAGACGAGAGTCATGGTCAAGTCGGGGATGAAGCAAGACAAAGACGACAAGACGCTCCAGCAGCTGCTGAACAACAGGCAGCTTGCGCTCAAGCTGCTTGCTAACGTCACGTATGGGTACACCTCTGCGTCGTTTTCCGGGCGGATGCCGTGTTCGGAGATAGCGGACAGTATTGTCCAGACCGGCAGGGAAACGTTGGAAAGAGCGATAGCGTACATCCACAGCGTGGACAGGTGGAAGGCAGAGGTGGTGTACGGGGATACAGACTCGCTGTTTGTCCACCTCCCCGGCCGGACTCGGGAGCAGGCCTTTGCCCTTGGGCGGGAGATGGCGGAGGAGATCACGGACATGAACCCGAGGCCGGTGAAGCTCAAGTTTGAAAAGGTGTACCAGCCGTGCGTTTTACTCGCGAAGAAGAGGTACGTAGGGTACAAATATGAGCATCCGGGCCAGGAAGTGCCAGAGTTTGACGCCAAGGGGATCGAGACGGTGCGGAGGGACGGGACGCCGGCCGAGCAGATGATCGAGGAGAAGGCCTTGCGGATCCTGTTCGAGACGGCGGATTTGAGCAAAGTGAAGGCGTACTTCCAGACCCAGTGCTCAAAGATCATGAAGGGGAGCGTCTCGGTGCAGGACTTTTGCTTCGCGAGGGAGGTGAAACTGGGGAGCTATAGCGCCAAGGGACCCGGGCCGGCGGGTGCGTTGATAGCGGGCAAGAAAATGTCGGAGGATGCGAGGGCTGAGCCGCAGTACGGGGAAAGGGTGCCGTACGTGGTTGTCACCGGGGCTCCCGGCGCGAGGTTGATTGATCGGTGCGTTGCGCCGGAGGAGCTGTTGGAGAGGGGGGTGACGGAGGGGCTGGAGCTGGATGCGGAGTATTATATTGGCAAGAATTTAATACCGCCGCTGGAGAGGATATTCAACTTGGTGGGCGCAAATGTGAGGGCTTGGTATGAGGAGGTTCCGAAGGTGCAGATGGTGAAGAAGGGGCAGCAACAGCGTGCGGTATCGGACGGGGAGAATGTTGGTGCCAAGGCGAAGAAGACATTGGAGCACTTTCTTGCTTCGAGGACCTGCTTGGCTTGTGGGGTGAAGATGGCACCGGCACCGCCAGCCCCTGCTTTTGCAGAGGAGGTGGATGAGGAGGAGAAGATGCCACTTTGCGAGAGGTGCAAGGAGGATGAGCTGGGGACCATGGTGGTGTTACAGGGGAGGTTGAACAGTCAGAGGAAGGGGTACAATGACTTGGTGAAGATTTGCCAGAGCTGTGTCGGGCTGGGGTCGTGGGATGGAGGGGACCAGGAGGTGAAGTGTGACAGCAAGGACTGCCCGGTGTTCTATAGCAGGGTGAGGCAGCGGGCAAAGGTGCAAGGGGAGGGAGTGGTGCTGGAGGGAGTCATCAGGGGGCTAGGGGAGAAGGTTGCTAAGGGCTCTACGGGGTTGGATTGGTGATCTTAGGTTCACAGACAGCATTGGTCATCAGGATGGGCGGTAAGCGTTTGATTCCAAAACCATCAAACGGTTTGCATTGGGTGAATATGAATGAATGCATGGTATGACGGGTAGGATAGGACGGGCAGGATAGGACGGGTAGGATAGGACGGGTAGGATAGATAGCTTTAGATGGGGTTGGTGGCATCGGCATCGAGTTCCATGGCTCATAAATGGGGGTCAGGAGGTTCACATGACGGTCACGTGAGACGCAATATATGAGGTCTTATTATATGCTGCATCTCCTGTGCCCCAGATGTTTCTCCTGAATAACTTTGTTTACTTATTGGTCACTCGTGATATCATCACCCCCCTTTCTTCCTTGATACTGGACAATGCCCCCTACACATGCATTGTACAGTTGTCAGTGGACCCTCTTTACGCGTTCGCGTGCATCGTGAGGAATGGCTTCACGCCCCTTTTGATTTGTGCACATTACCTAACCATAAGGGCTCCACAACAGGTTTTCGGTGGAGCTGTTCATTCCTTTCCAGAATTTCCCAAGGAGGGGCAAAGCACAATTGGAAGCTTGTGCGGGGCAGGGAACACCGTTGCGCTGAAACCAAGCCGGCGAGTCAGCCCCCCGTTTGGTGCCATGTGCCTTGCATCTTGTGCCTGGCGCGTTGCCGTGTTTGGCTTTCTGGAGGAAGCCATCACGTGCACACAATGAGGAGAAATCACCAGCCCAAGCTCCGGAATACCGCAGTGAGCTCCCCTACAAGATAGCGAGTGATGAGTTGGTAGCATTGGGGAACTTGTGTGGTACCGACTGACAGGTGACTCCAGTTAAAATAAATTGAATCAAAAGCTTTCAATTATGCCCCCCGGTCCATCTCCGGGGGTGGGAACTGGTTAGACTGGATATGATTGTCGCTTTGAACGAATCGGATCTCGGATCGTGAACATCTTCACGGCGATTGGTGACTGGGAGAGCGCATCTCTATATAAATAGCAATCACGGTCAGATAGACATCGTGAATGGCTTCACAAATCTTCACTGCCCTCTGGATTAGGATACCTATTGTTGAGGTGGCCTCTGGTCCCAGCCGGACCTTCTCTGTTTGTTAGCTGTCCTTTGACACCAAGCTAATTGTTTGATGGGCGGTGCTGGAGCTGAGGCCACCCACGTCAATGAGCACTGAGACACCAATGACTCCCAAAAAACAAGAGACGAGATGACATTTTATCTCGGACGCTGCAGGCTGGAAAAGCAGCGGGAGATGACGCTTGCTGGCGTCTTGGCCCTGCTTCCACAGGTGGAGAGATCAATGCAAGTGTGCCAAGCGCCCGCAATGCCACAGAGCACAGATGCCTGAGGCAAGAACACCACCAGACATCTGGGCGATCTGCTCCGCTCCCACTGTTCTGGATTGTTCGTCCATCACGCCAATGCATCGAAGACATCCAGCAGATTCCTGTCTCCCTCGCTGCTGGATTCACCCAGTCTCTCCCTCTATCGCCCCCACCGCTGTCGTCGCCGTCAATCCGACCTTTTTATGTTTTTTATTTTTTATTTTATTTTTGCTATTACCTTTTTCCTAATTCGCCCATCCTCCACTCTGCAGACGACCGTCGCCAATCCTGATTGTGTTGCGCGACGTTGGCCTGTTTTGCTGCAGCTGCTGGATTTTTGGTTGTTCTTGTTGTTTGATTTGCTAAGCCTCGGTGTGCGCGCGCGTTCCGATCAATTGACCCCTCAACGTCAACAGAGCTCAGGCCGACCTAGGACTTACTATTGTACACAATCCTCCCTTGGGGGTGTGCGCTACATACCCATCTATCTGTCTGACTGTCTGCCTCGTGTCGCGTAAATCCGCCCACACACTCGAACATACTCAGAAACAAAACACCTCACGGCACGCCACTGCACCACCATCACCACCCACCAATCCTACCGACGTGTTCCTTTCCCTCTTTTTCGCCGTCTCTCGGTTTCTGGTTCTCCTTCGTTTGCGATACGCCATTTCAGCTACTACTGCCACTACTTCCTTACTAATTGTCTCTAACTTGTCTTCTTTGCCCAATTCGACCTACGGAATCCGGGGCTTCTATTATTTCACACCACTTCAACACGACCCGCTGCCGAACCTTGTTTTTTTTATTATTATTTTTTTAAAAAAAATAAAAATAAAAAAAGCTCTTCTTTTAACGTTTTAGTACGGCAGCTGGGTCTGGCCACCACGCGCCACCGATCGAGATCCGATTGATGTCCAACAAAGCGAGGGAGGAATAGGTGACGTTGCTTCGTCCATCCCAACAAAACAAACCACTGCCGTACACAGCTTGGCGGTGCTGCGAGCAGGCAAAGCCCCGAATCTTTGGGGCCTGCCTCTCCGAGGGCGTTCTCGGGCATCATGGCGACTTCGGTTGCATCTGACAAGCCCGTCGAGGCTTTGGGTCCCGGAGAAGTTGCTGACCCTTTCGTCATAAGTCCGTCCGGCCCGACACATCTTCGGCATTCCAACTTCGATGGCCACCTCCTCGCCCTTGCTCCCGGCGCTTCGGCCGAGCAAACAAAACGCGCCATTCAGGCCCATCTGCGGGATACCGAACGGCGAATGGAGGAAGCTGGAAAGCTGGGTACCGCACTTGTACAACAGCAGAAGGAGCTCACGGAAAAGCTTCGGGAGGTGGAGCGCTTGCAATCGGAAGCCGAACTTGATCCCGACCTGCGCCAAAGACTCCTGGATATCGAGAAGGATTACAGTGAGGTGGCGAGGGACAGTGCGCGCGCTTTGCTTCCAAAGCAGAGGGTTCCCAGCAGTGAGTCTCAAGGGTCGCCTTATGCCGCCGAGGGCAAGGCTGGGAGGGTATGTTGTGCCAGATGTTCTCGTCTCTCGAGCACGGGACTGATTCTTGTTTCTAGCGTTCTGTGAGTCCCTCCAAGTTCGAAACGTTGGCGACGCCATCTCCCACCAAGTTCAGTGTCCCCAATCGAAAGTTGCGCAATCAGCCTGCCAGTCGGATCCACGATATCGAATTCGCTGCCGAAATCAGTACCTCGTTGATTGCACAAGTTCGAAATCTTCAAGCCCTTCTGTCGGAGAGAGAAGAGGAGCTCAAGGAGAGCAAGGCGGACAGGGCGAGACTTGAACTCGAGGCCGAAGGCTTCCAACAACACATCAAAAGCCTGGACGAGAGCGAGTCCCGATACAAGGATGAGAACTGGAACCTCGAGACGCAAATCCACGAGCTCATGGCATCGCAGAAGGAGGCTGCGGAGCGCGAGAAGAAGCTCACGCAGGCTTTGGCTGCTTTGCAATCCGAAAAGAACGCCACCCAGCGAGAGCTGGAGGAGGTCAAGGATAGCCTGGCCAAGCAGGAGGAGAAGCACTCGGCAGCTATCAGAAATCTCGAGATCGAGCTTGGCACCAGCCGGCGCAGTGCGGTATCCTTCGAATCGGAACGCTTGACGCTTCAGAAGAGGGTCGACGAACTCACAAGCCAGAATCAGGAGCTAGCCAAGGCGTTCTCAGCCCAGCGGGGCAGGATGCTGGAGCGGGAATCCACTCGTGGTGTGAGTGATGAGGATCGCAACTCCGGTAGCGACAGAAACACCGGCCCCGAGCAGTCACCGCCTCCTTCGCCTCTGAAAATGACACCTCGCCACTCCGGACTCGAGACCGAAACTCTCAAGACTTCTCTCGGCCATGCTCAACGTACCATCCAGACTCTCAGGACCAACATCCATCGCGAGAAAACCGAAAAGCTGGAGCTGAAGCGCATGCTCCAGGATGCCCGCGATGAGGTCGAGAAGCTGAGAAGCGATCCTCACCCGGCGCCCAAGAAGAACCGCAAGCTTGATGCCAGGGAGGCCAAGAAGCCGAACTTCAAGGTCACGCAGTTGGGTGGCCACCGACCGAGCAGAATCGAAGTGGTGGAAGACCCTGACTGGGATGATGTTTCCGAAGCGCCCTCTCCTCGGACGAATCCGTTCCGTGGCTCAAGCTCTCGGATACCCAACCTCAATATCGGTACCATCCAGGAATCGAGCAGCGATCACTTCGAGACGGCTCACGAGGGTGGCTTCGACACCGCGACTGAGGCCAGCGAGGCTTTCGAGACTGCCCACGAAAGGGGCACTGAGACGACCGAAACGGAAGACTTTGAGACTGGTCTTGAGAACATCACCACGGACGAATCCGAGGACACGGCAACCGAGACAGAATCCGGGCCGAGGCCAGCTCGGGGTGCAGAGTCGATAAGGCGTCCTCCTCCTTTACCCGCAAGCCAAGACTCGTACTCGTTCGACAGCACGGCGTCAACTTCGAGCGACGAGGAGTATGGCTACGTGGACGTGAGATCACCATCTGCGAACCCTGCCCAGCGGATGCGGGCGCGCATGAACCGTGGATCCATGAGCCAACGTCAACGGCAGCTTAGTGAAGATCCGTCTACCGCACAGAGCAGCCCTCTCGGCGCCCCCGTTCATCGCGGTAGCATCACGGCAACGCCTCAGCAGAGCCTGTTTGCCGAGTTGAACAACATGGATAACAGCGATGAAGATTCATACGGTGGTACCCCCGCCCGCAGTCTCCGTTCCATGACGCCTGCCACACCCGCCAGCGTGATTAGAGGCCATCTCTCGCCAGCTCCCGATGTCCCGAGGATGCCGATCAAGAGGGTGACCATGGTCGACAGTGGGATGATGACAGAGCCAGTGGACGTTCGTGACCTTGTTGAGTCTGGCGTGCTCAGTGATGGGGAGGGCTCAATCTCGGCTCCACCAAGTGTCATTCACATCGAACGGAGTCGTCCAAGAACGATGGAGTCTGTGATTACCCGTCAGAGATCTATGGAGTCTGTCATTGGGCCCAAGAGATCTATGGAGTCTGTTGTTAGACCTAAGAGGTCCATGCAGTCTGTCATCGGACCTCACACGTCTGTGGAATCTGTCATCGGCCCCAGAAAGTCCAGTCAATGGCTGGGAAGCGAACTCAACCAGGGCCGGCCGGCATCGGTCATGTCGTACAGCGATGTCAGCGTCCAGCATGATTCGGATGTGGAAGACAGGCTTGCGCAATTCCCATCTCCTTCGACCTCACCTCGGCAGCGTGCTCTGCTCCCCACTCCCGTTGTCGTCCCACCGCAGACTTTGAGCCTTTCAAGCATCCAGTCGGAAGACATTGCGCCTGTCATTGAGCCCGAGCTTCTTCCAACGCCCCCTTCGCTGAGCTTGTCTGCCATTTTGACACAGCACACGGAGCCAGTGCGAGAGCCAGAGATGCCTCCGCCGAAGCTCACTCTTGCACCAGTCTTGTCTCAGAACGTTGAGCCCGTGGCTCCTGTGCCACCAGTTCTGAGCGTGCCTGCCACTGCTTCTCTGGATATCGAGCCAGTTTCGGAGCCGGAGGTTGTTCCAGCTCCCCTATCGCTCTCGGCAGTTCTTGGTGAGCAAATCGAGCCAATTGCAGAGCCCGAGCCCACCCCTGCGGTTCTCTCTCTCTCTTCCGTCCATGCTTTCCATGACGTTGAGCCCGTTCCCGAACCTGAGCCGGTTCCTGCGCCTCTCAGCTTCTCGGCTGTCTTATCGACGGCGGTGGAGCCTATTGCCGAGGTGGTGCCAACACCGGCGGCGCTCTCCATCTCGAGCGTACATGCCTACCATGATTTCGAGCCTATCGAGGCCCCAGAGCCAGAGCCTGTTCCTCTGTCCATGTCGACAATCTGCGCGGAGGAGGTCGAGCCAACAGCTCCGCCATCCCCCATTCTTCTGTCATTCGCCAGCATCGTGGCCGAAGATGTCGAGCCAGTGGAGCAGCCATTCGACCTCCCAGCCCCGGCAGTTGTTCCTGTCGTTGCAGCACACAGCGTGGAGACAAAGCTCGAGGCGCCCGCTTCGCCTCCTCTTTCTTTCTCGTCTATCAAGTCAGAGGCCGTCGAGCCTCGCCAGGAGCCAGAGCCGGCTGCGCCCGCATTCGGTCTTGCCCCTATTCAGTCCCAGGACGTTGAGCCCCGCGAAGTGCCCCTTCCTGCGCTCTCCATATCGACGCTCAAGACCTGGGATGTTGAGCCTCAGGAGCCGCCTGCGCCGGCGCTCTCCCTGTCAAGCGTCCAGGCTTGTGCTGTCGAACCTGTTGAGGCGGTCCGTCCGCCGCTGTCTTTGTCAGCTGTTGCGGCATTGGATGTCGAGCCTCGCGAGACGCCTTTGCCGGTTCTCTCATTGTCATCCGTTCGGCAGACTTTGGATGTCGAGCCACGCGAAGAGCCAGTCGTCCCTCCCCCTGCCTTGTCCCTGGCATCCATTCAGTCGCAGGCTGTGGAGCCTCTCGAGGCTCCCGAGGTTCCAGCTCCTCTCTTGTCTATTTCGGCCATCGGCTCTCAAGTTGTTGTTGACCCGGTTGAGCCAGAGGAGCCCAAGTCCATCCTCCCGCCGCTCACCATTTCTGCGATCCAGTCACTGCAAACCGAGCCAAGCGAGGGACGCAGCCCCAAGAGAAATGCGTTCATCATTCCCCGTGGCACGGACGGCGAGGAGCAGGATGCTCAGGCGTCAGAGGAGCAGCCCGCGCAGAAGCAGCCCGTGCTTACTGCCGATCAGGGCGTTCAGACAACATTGACATCCGAGGCCATTGACCAGTTGCTCCTGGCAAATAGCCAGCAATCTCTTCCGCCACACGATCTTGAACGCTCCAGCTCACATCTCAGTATGGGCACCCCATCCACGGTTCGCATTAACCGGGCCCGCCAGGGCAGCTTCGACAGCACGCTGCGGTCGAAGGGCAAGGCTGCTACCGACATTGTCACTGAGCCTATTGATGCCGTACTTCTTAGGAGGCCAGGCAGCTCTGCTAGCATCAGGAGCTCCGCTGAGGACATTGTCCCGCCCCTGCCAGCCAACCACAAAGAAGCCATCGAGGCTGCGAGGACCAACTCTTCGGGCGGCGGTCAGGAAACCATCAACAGCATGCCACCGCCACTGTTCCCCGCCTCTGCCATGCGCCCGCGGACTCCCACGCATAGACGCCCCTTGTCACCCGCCGGTGCTGCTGGTAACGGCGGTCGTGCTACTCCCACACCACGTGCTCACAAGAATGGATCGATTCGCGAGATGCCCGAAGTCCATTCGCCGTCGAGAATGACAGCCCGCAGCCGCAAGTCCTCTATTTCATCCTTCGCATCCGAGGTCGACACTCGATTCAACATTCATCCCGAGGGCGGTTATGACACGTCTGGCTTGGGTCCCAACACGGACCCTCGCATGATCCAGGCCATCACCCAGACGATGATTGGAGAGTACCTGTGGAAATACACGCGCAAGGCCGGCCGTGGTGAGATGTCTGAGAACCGTCACCGGAGGTACTTCTGGGTGCACCCGTACACGCGCACTCTGTACTGGAGCGACCGGGACCCATCATCTGCCGGACGTCATGAGCTTCGTGCCAAGAGTGTTCCTATTGAGGCCGTACGCGTCGTAGCGGATGACAACCCGATGCCCCCCGGGCTGCACAGGAAGAGCTTGGTCATCGTGTCGCCTGGCAGAACCATCAAGTTCACCTGCACGACTGGTCAACGACATGAGACATGGTTCAACGCCCTGTCTTACCTTCTCCTTAGGACGTCGAACGATGGCCAGTCGGATGCCGAAGAGATGGCTGGCCACATTACAAGTGCCGATGTTGACGAATTCAACCCAAGCTATGGCAAGCGGATGCCCCATGGCACTCGCGGTGCTCCTTCTCTGTCCTCGTACAATTCCCGAACAGTACGGGAGTCGCCAACCATGGACCACTACCTCAATGTTCCCACTCTCACCCCGTCTCGCTCCAAGATTTCTCAGCAGCAGCAGCAGCAGCAGCAACCACCGCAAGCGGCGCGGTCATCTGGAACGCTGAGCCGCATCAGCGGATACTGGAAAGACAGCAAGGTCTTGGGCGGGACATTTGGCAGCTTGAGGAGCAGAAGTGTTTCGGGGCGCGATACCGCACAGAGCATGTATGAATCTAGTGAAGTGCAGGATAGTGCGGAGGATCTCAGACAGATCATCGAGCAACAAGATCGCGAAGCGGATCGGTTGGAGAATGTTCGGGCGTGTTGTGATGGTAAGTCGATGAGTTGAAGTTCGATTTGGTATGTCTTTGACATGTCGGGCTGACAGTTGACCAGGCAAACATGATGTGGGCACCTTGACCAGTAGTTCAAAGCGTGGCCGTAACTCGCGGCAAGGCTTTCACTCGCACACGGGCCCTTCTTCAACCCCAACACCGGTCGGGACCGTCAGGTCTCGGGCATAAAATCAGACTGCCCTCAAAAAAAACAAAAAAAAGAAAAAAAGAAAGGAAAAAAACCCACACAAGCAAACTATACACACTCACAACTGAGTCTCCTTTTCCTTGGAAATAATAAGCCATGACGGGATTTCTTTTCATGGGTACTCAAAATTTCATTAACCCTACTCTTCTTGTCGATCGCTACAAAGTAAACCATTTCTGTTGTCTGAATGCATTGGGGAGAGAAAGAAAGCATCTTGCGTGTTGTGTAACGAATACAGACTCGGGGCCATAAACTACTTGGGAAATTTCGCCTTTGATGACGTTGATGATTATTTTCCACACAATTTTCTCGTCAAAGTCTTTTTGTTTTCATCAACCGGCATTTTTCTTCTTTTCCCTTGTATTACTACCACCTCCGTCGCCGCCGTCGCCGCCGTCGTCACCTTTAACGCTAGCAACGGCGTCAACCATCAACCTACCACCGAAGAGTCGCCAAGCTGCGCCTACCCGACTCGATCACACCTCATCTATAAAATCTGGAACAACAAAGCTCTCAATAAACTCTCGGGATATTGGATCTTTTCTTTTTTTCTTCTTTTTTTCCTTTTGGTCCTGGGTGGGAAATCACGGGAGGCGTCAACATGGTGTTCGAAAGTTATCTTTTCTGCTGTATTTCCGAATCACAACCAACCTTGGGAGGAAAAGTTAAGGGGGGGGGGGGGGGATAAGGACAAAATGGGAGAGGAAATGCTTGGTGTTTTGGTGGTGATGATGATCAACAGTCAAGAAAGATACCCCTCCTCTGTGTTGTGTGTAAGCGTCTTGATTTGCGTGGTTACTCATCGCTTCACCGGCGGCGGGAGAAAGCGGAGAAAGAAGGAGAAGGAAAAAAAAAAGGTAAAAAAAAAGTAAAATAAGAAGAAAAAATAAAAGAGTTGAGAGGTTGGGAGAGTTGTTGGTGTGGTAAGGTGTCGTGGGTTGGGGCCGGGGTGGACGCGGGGGGAGGTTCATAAGGTGGGTGTCATGGGGATGTGGCTTTTTCTGTCAGTTTGTTCGTCAGATATCTATCTCTCTTGGGGAAGGGGGGGAGGGGGGTTGTTGGTTCTCTTTCTCTTGAAAGTATGTTTCTTATTAGGTATTTTGAAACGAGTGAAATGATTTTTATTTATTTTATTTTTATATATATACGCTTGTTGTGCACAGACGACGCACCTACACGTGATCTTGAAAGCTAACCTATTTCTCTTTTTCTGCACCAGTCAAGACAGAAACAGACCTCAAATGTTGCACGGCTTTGCTTCCGACACCGCCTTAGAAAAATCATGTTGGGGTAGGGTAGGGTATTTGGAAAGCGAATCCCGGGATAGAGATGCACCGAAGGGAAAGAAAAGGTTGAAAAGAAAAGGTCGACTCGGTGGGATGGATGTGCCGAGCAGTGGGTGGGAAACCGCACACCTTGGATACCCTTCTGGGGGATTCACGATATTGACAGCAGAGACAGACACACACACGCACACACATATATATACACACATACACACACACATACACACACACACACACACACATACACACATACACACTCACACACACACACACACACATCTTTCTTTTTTTCCATGTCCTCGAGAAAAGCAAAAGAGTGGTTGGTCGAACAAACCCCCGAGCTTTTTGTTGCGCCGGTGGTGATATATATATTCCCATCACACGGCCCAACTGCCGACCTTGTGTACTTACTCTCGGCTTGACCCATATTTCACACAACCCCCCTCGGTATTGGCTGCTTTCTTATGGGTAATTTTGGAAAGACGGGTACCTCGGGTGGCCCCAAGGCCGGTGTGACGAGCTCTGCTATTTGCCCTCTCGACATTGTGCTGAAGCTCTGGCTATTTGATAGGTTGATCCTGGGGACGTGTTTGATAGATTGACACACATTGACACACATTGACACACATTGACACACATTGACACGGCAGCGGAAGGCGACAGGCGGCAGGCAGCAAAAAAGTATCCGTCTTGGTTTTTCTTGCTTTTTTGGGGAGTCCTGTGTAGGTGTGGCATCCGATCGAGGTTGCAGTTATGCTGCCGGCCGCCGGGAGGCGAGATGAGGTTGTCACTGAGAGAATGGGGAAGAACTTGGCGAGAGTCTTCTGGTGCGTGCCTTAGTGGTTGCCTTGCATGCTCAGGTCAAGGACGGATAGATGACTTGTTGGGTCTGCGTAGGTGTGTACATTCTGGTTAACACACGCTTGGGTTTCAGTTTTGATTGTCCTGAAAAACTTACCGGAGAAAGGGGGGGGTTACCTGCCTGCCGACATCTCGGCCATCTTCACGCCTTATTCTACCACAGGAGACTCTTCCTCTTGGCTGTACTAGGTGTGCATCCAGGGTGGTGACATTGCATCGACCGGTCAACATGTAGGGCTCTTGGGTGGAGACACGACTGCAATTCTCTGCAGCTGTGATTGGACTTGGTTCTCTTGGGCATGTACATTGCGAATGTATATCTCGACCGGTGAAGCTGTAGGGCTGTCTGGGGGTAGAAATGATAGAGTGAACAGACTCTTGTTTGTTTTTTGGCATAGATTAATGTGGATCAAGGAGGGGTGGTATTGCATGGACCGGTCAAGAAATAAGGCTGGTTTATACTGACCGGTCAAGATGTGGGTGTGGTCTCTACCTAGGTACTTGGCTGGCAAGACGACAGGGAGAAACTTCTATGACGGTTGGGAAATAACTGCATGAGTAGGAATATGGAAGTGTTTGTGTAAGGCAAAGGACTTGACGAAAGAGTGGAGAAGAGGTAACTTGGATGTCATAAAGACTGAATCAAGACCACCCGTGGGCTGGATAGACATAATGCCTATCTGTCATCAATACCTACTGCGAGACAGAGGGAATGTATGCGCCTCTATATCTTGACATACAAACCAACGTGCACCGTATAGTCTTCGTGGTTCGCCTGAGCGGCAACCCGCGCTGAATAACACTTGATATCGAAGCAAGCTGCCCAAACTTACTGTTGCCTTGCTCCAAACGGGGGCAAATTGACCTGCAACATGCTCGCCCCGGGAACGGTACCCAACTCCAATGACAGCTCATACACCACCCTCCAAATGTCAAGCTCTTTCCCCCTCAGCCCTTTTTCTTGACCGGTCCATGCAGGTGGGTGACATTGCCTCGACCGGTCAAGAGAAATGCCACTCTCGTGCATTAAATGCGTTGACATGCGTTGACATGCGTCGACCGGTGAGCAGATCTCCCCCATTTTCCACCATTCCGAGCCTGAAAGGGTGGTCTGGCCCCACACCGGTGACAGGGATTCGTGTTTATGCTTCATGCACGAAGTTTTTGACATCTCGAAGCAAGGAACTGAGGCGCAAAGGTGAACGGTGAGTGAGCTGCAGAGGTGAAGGCAAGGTGAGGAACATGCTGGCTTTCGTAAGCATTGCGGAGGTGGGGCCGCCAAGCTTCTAGAAGCCTTCGAAGCTCGGGCCATGTTTGTAATGAGGTAATCGGAATCCCAAATTCGATATCCCCAAGCAAACGGCCCATGATACTTTTGCCTCGCGCCTCACACCTTGAACAACACAGCTTCAAGTTGACAACCTCCTGCCACCCCTTTCTTCCCTCTAAACCCACCCAAGAAGATATCATGGCAGACCCAAAACCATCAACAGAGGCCCCCGCTTCCGGCCCTGCCGCGCCCGTAGCCATCTTCAAAAAGCGCGGCGCAAAAGCCAAAGCCAACCTCCGCAAAAGACCAGCAACCCCCCCTCCCGCCGCCTCCGATTCGGACTCGGACTCGGATTACTCCTCCTCCGAGGACGAATCCGGCCGGCGCATCAAGCGCCGCAAGCGCAACACCGCCGCCGTGGTCACGGCCTCCTCCAGAGACAGAGCGAACCCCCAGTCTGAGCAAGATCTCAAAGCCACCATCTTCACCACCGACCGCGCCTCCGCCCTCGCCCTCGACTCCTCCAGGCGTGACGCCACAAAACAAACAAACTGGTTCGACGAAGAAAAAGATCTCTCCGCCAAATCCCTCCTCGGCTCCACCCGCTCCATGCCACCCCCCTCCTCCTCCTCCACCACCTCGGGGCCAGATGGAACCTACAAAGGCCTGGCCAACGCAACCTCGTACATCCAAAAGAACCCCGACGCCCCCTCCCGAAAAGTAGGCCCCGTCAAAGCCCCCACCAACATCCGCACCATCACCATCACAGACATGGCGCCCGACGTGTGCAAGGACTACAAAAACACCGGCTTCTGTGGCTTCGGTGACAACTGCAAGTTCCTCCACGCCAGAGAAGACTACGCCCACGGGTGGCAGCTGGACAGGGAGTGGGAGAACGTCACAAGGGGAAAGAAGGTAATAGGGGGCACGGTGGTTGCCTCTGCCGAACGAAAAGCGAACAAGGATCCCAACCAGGGTGAGGATGAAAGAGACGACGACGGGGAGGAGGAGGCGGCGATGCTGGAGAAGATCCCGTTTGTGTGTATCATCTGCAGGGGGGATTACAAGAGCCCGGTGGTGACGAGGTGTGGGCATTATTTCTGCGAGGGGTGCGCGTTGAAACGGTATAGAAAGGACCCGAGCTGTGCGGCCTGTGGGAGCGGGACGAACGGGGTATTTAACGCGGCCAAGAAACTGCAGAAGCTGTTGGAGAAGAAGAAGGAGAGGGCGGCGAGGAGGAGGCGGGAGGCGATTGAGAATGGGGAGGATGTTAGCAGTGAGGAGGAGGTGGAGGAGGAGGAGTAGGAATAGGGGGGTTCGGATGAAGAGCGAAGAAAGATATGTATAAACATCATGAGCATAACAACTTGATACCCTGGCATGTCTTTGGGAAATAGACTGCTGCATAGCCTGCCTGAAAAATCACAAACCTATTTGCGTCCCACAACCAGTCTGATGTGTACGATGAAGCCATGATGCGGTTCTGCTGTTAATCTGCAGCCATTAAAAGCTAAGCTAGCTATGTCTGTCCTCCGTCTTTGAGGTCTGATGTCCATGATTTAAA